ACTACTGTTGCCAAGGTCATAAATATTTAAACCCTAACCAGACTATTTTGCTTTCTTTTGTGTATGACTACAGATATTAACTAGACAGAATTAGAAAATTTTGATATGTTAGAGAAAATATATCACTACCACTAGTAAAACAGTTCAAAATATATGCCTAGGCCAGGTGGGGTGGCTCACTCCTTTAATCCTAGCACTTTGGGAGGCCAATGTGGGCGGATTGCCTGGGCTCAGGAGTTTGAGATCAGCCTGGGCAACATGGCGAAACCACTTCTCTACTAAAAATGCAAAAAGATTAGCCAGGCATGGTGGTGCACACCTGTAATCCCAGCTACTTGGGAGACTGAGGCAGGAGAATCGCTTGAACCCGGGAGGTGGAGGATGCAGTGAGGCAAGATCATGCCACTGCACCCCAGTCTGGGTAACGGAGCAAGACTCTGTCTGGTAAAAAAAAAAAAAAGGAGTTAGTAATAGCATCTAACATAGGAGTTAGTAATGACATCTTAAGATATATTTATTACTTTTTTCCTTTTCTGTTATTTTTTTATTGACATGAAGTTCACATAACATAAAATTAACTATTTTAAAGTTAACAACTCGGTGGCATTCAAGTACATTTACAGTGTTATACAACCACTACATCTGTCTATTTCGCAGACATTATCATTAGCCCAAAAGGAAACCCCACTCTCCATTCCATCTCCTCAGCTGCTGGCAACCACTACTCTGCCTTCTGTCTCTCTGAATGTTCCTATTCTGGGTATGTTCATAAATGGAATCATACAATATTTTATGTTTGGCTTCTTTAACTTGGCAAATGTTTTTAAGGTTCATCCGTCTTGTAGCATGTATCAGCACTTCGTTCTTTTTATGGCTGAGTAATATTCTATTTTGTGTGTATATCACAGTTTGTCCATTCATTCATTGATGGACATTTGGGTCATTTCTATCTTTTGGCTATTGTGAATGGCACTGTTAGGAACATACATAAACATGGATTTGTTTAGTACCTGTTTAATTTTCTTAGGAGCCACCTCTGTTTTTCACAGAGGCGTTACCATTTTCCATTCCTACCTGCCGTTTATGAGGGTTCCGTTTTCTGCACATCCTTGCCCACACTTGTTTTCTGTGTTTTTGTTTTCTTCATTATGTCCATCCAAATGGGTGTGAAGTGGTATCTTGTTTTGGTTTTAATTTGCATTTCCCTAATGACTAATCATATTAGGCATCTTTTCAAGTCCCTTGCCCTTTTTTAATTGAGTTTTTCATCTTTTCATTGTTAAGTTGTAAGAGTTCTTCTTGTATTCTAGATACTAGACCCTTATTAGGTAAATGATTTGCAAACATTTTCTCCCTTTCTGTGTGGTTTTTTTTTTTTTTTTACTTTCTTGATGTTTTAAATCTTGATGAAGTCTAATTTATCTGTTTTCCCTTTGATTGCACATAGTTTTGTTGTGATACCTAGGAATCCATTGCCAAATTGAAGATCGTGAAGGTTTATCCCTATGTTTTCTTTGGAGTTTTATGGTTTGAATTCCTATCTTTGAATTCATCGATCAGTTTTGAATAATTTTTTATATGTTGTGAGACAAGGGACCAACTTCATTTTTTTGCATATGAATATCCAGTTGTCCCAGGACTAGTTGTTGAAGAGAGTATTCTTTTACACTGAATGATGTTGGCACTCATGTTGAAAATCAATCAGTCATCAATGTATAGGTTGCTGGATTCTTGGTGCTCTTCCATTCATCTATATGTCTGTTTTCATACCAGTGCCACAGTGTTTTGATAGCTTTGTAGTAAGTTTTAAAACCACAAAATATGAGTCCCTAACTTTGTTGTCTTTTCATTATTGTTTTGACTACTTGGGACCTCTTGCAGTTCCATATGAATTTAAAGATTGACTTTTTCAGTTCTTGAAAAAAAAAAAGCCATTGGAATTTTGATAGGGATTGCATTAAATCCGTAGATTGCTTTGGGTAGTATTGCCATCTTATCAGTATCAGATCTTTCAATCAATAAAAACAGGATTCTTTTCTACTTTAATTTCTTTCAGCAATGTTTTGAGTTTGTAGTATATAAGTCTTTTACTTCCCTGGTTAAAGTTATTTCTAGATGTTTTATTCTTTTGAATGCTATTGTAATTAGAATTATTTTCTTAATTTCAGTTTTAGATCGCTCATTGCTGATGTGTACACACGCAATTGAATTTTGTGTGTTGATCTTGTACTCTACAACTGTGATGAATTTACTAACTCTAGTAGTTTTATTGTCGATTCTTTGGGATTTGTTATTTTTGTTTCCTGACTATTGTAATATATCTGTGGTCTTTGCTTAGGAATCAGGATGTAAAACTGTATGTAGTTTTTCATTTATAACTTCCTAACGTATCTTGCCTTTGTACTTGTTCTCTTGTAGTTTGTTCACATAACAGCTAGAGCAGCCCTTTAAAATAATTGATGAGGTCATGCCATGCATGTACAGAACCTTCTACAGGTTTGTACATTAGAGTACAAGCTTAAGTCTTGACAGAGTACTGCAGAACTGTCTGATCTGCCACTGGCCCATTCTTTACCAGTATACCTTTGTTTATTCCAATCACAGTAACCTTGGCTTTCTTATTACAGCAATCAATTTTTTTTTTTTTTTTTTTTTTTTGAGACGGAGTTTCGCTCTTGTTACCCAGGCTAGAGTGCAATGGCGCGATTTCGGCTCACCGCAACCTCCACCTCCTGGGTTCAGGCAATTCTCCTGCCTCAGCCTCCTGAGTAGCTGGGATTACAGGCGTGCACCACCATGCCAAGCTAATGTTTTGTATTTTTAGTAGAGACGAGGTTTCACCATGTTGACCAGGATGGTCTCGATCTCTTGACCTCGTGATCCACGCGCCTCGGCCTCCCAAAGTGCTGGGATTACAGGCTTGAGCCACCGTGCCCGGCTACAGCAATCCATTTTAAGGCCCTTTGTATTTTCCCTCTCTATATGGAGCCCTGTTCCCTCAAACATTCCAATGCTTTGTTCTCTATTTCCTTAAGGTCATCTCCTGAGAGTCTTCCCTGACTGCCTTACCTAAAATAACACTTAATATCATTATTTATCTCCTTACTCTATTTTTCCTTGAAACCCCTTATCTGACTTTATGCGGAACAGAAATTTTCTGAAGATAGGTATTTTGTCTGTTGTTCGTCACTGAATCACCAGGTCTAGAATGGTGTCAGATATAATAGGCACCTAATCAGTTCTTGCCAAATGAAGGAATAAAAGTTTCCTCAAGTAAAAGGAACAAGAAGCTAATATATACTCATGAGCCAAACATTATTCTAGGCATTTAATATATGTTTTTCACATTTAGTCTTCTTCATAAACTTATGAGAATAGATAATATTTCCGTTGATCAACAAAGAGACTTAAAAAAATCAAATAATTTGGCATAGCTAGGATTTGAAACCTGGTCTGTAGTACTTGATTCCAAAGCAAAGGCTTTTTCTACCCTGTTATTTAAAAATTATTAAATGTTCTTTGTACTGCAGAGAATACAAAGATAAACTATAAATATTTAAATTAATTAAGTATATAAGTTAGTATTTAGGCTGGGTGCGGTGACTCACGCCTATAATCCCAGTACTTTGGGAGGCCAAGGAGGGTGGATCACCTGAGGTCAGGAGTTCAAGACTATCCTGGCCAACATGATGAAACCCTGTATCTACTAAAACTACAAAAAATTAGCTGGCCCTGGTGTCTGGAGGCTGAGGCAGGAGAATTGCTTGAACCCGGGAGGCAGAGGTTGCAGTGAACCAAGATCATACCACTGCATTCCAGCCTAAGTGAGTGAACCAGACTCCATCTCAAAAAAAAAAAAAAAAAGGTTATGATATAATTAAATTCCAAATGAACAGTACTGTCAATAAGTTTTATAGTTATTTGGAAAATCATTAGACAAAATGGAAATGTTTCTCATACAGTAGGCTGAAAACTAAATGCATCAATTCAATGAATTAGTAAACAGGTAAGGATCTGGCTCTTAAATAATAAGTAGAATTTGAATTAGTGGGGAGAAAGAACAAGGCCATTTTAGGTACAGGGAACAACATAAGCAAGTGTGAAAAGCAAACTTATTAAAAGGATAATAAAATTCATCAGGAGCCAAGAGTTAATATTTTAAGGGTGCTGTGAGATAAGTCTGGGAAAAGTGAGTTGGTGATTAGATTATGAAGAATTTGAATTGTGAGGCTAAGGCATCTAAAGTATTTGAACATTATAGTTACTGGAGAGCCATAGAATAATAATGATATTGAACATTCGTGTGGGCATAGTGCTTAAGAGTATGAGCTTTGGAGCAAAATTGTGTTCAAATCCTGTCTTAGCTTAGTAACTAAGCTAATGACTTAACCTCTCTGTGCTCTAGTTTCCTAATCAAATGGAGATAATGTTTTTTAACTCAAAGAGCCATTGTCATGATTAAATGAATTATCTCTTATTATATGTAAAAATGATGAAAACAGTGCTTAGCACATATAGTAAGCATTCTATAAATATTAGCTATTGTCATTTATATGACATTTAAATTTTCACACGGCTTTCATGTGTACTGTTTCTTTTCATTTTCATGGCAACTCTGTGAGGTAGGTGTTACTTTATCAGTTTAATAATGGAGTAAATGAAGCCAAAGAGGTTTTGTCATGCCACATCCCCAGCTGGCAGAACTGGTCACATGATTCTAAGCCATTTCACCGTGATTCTCTCCAATCTAAAAAAACTAGTGGAACAATGGGATGAAAGTCAAGTTTTAGGGAAATTATTCTAGTGACAATCTACAGAGTACAATGAGGATGGAAAAGAACCCGAAGGCAGGTTTACAAGGCTCTTAAAATAATCTAGGTTTAGGTTTTATATATGAAAAGTTTCTCTTCTAGAGCTGTATCGAGAATGAAGAGAAAAGATTATTAATTCAAGGGACGTTGTGAATTTTATAACTAACCAATATGTTAATATTCTTTCAGCTGTATTTAAACTTGAAACAGATAGAAGTATATGGCCCTTGATAAGAATCTATCGGGGTGGCTTTCTTCTGATTGAATTCCTTTTTCTGCTGGGCATCAACACGTATGGTTGGAGACAGGCTGGAGTAAACCATGTACTCATCTTTGAACTTAATCCAAGAAGCAATTTGTCTCATCAACATCTCTTTGAGGTAATCAAAGCAAGGCATACTACCCCATGAATATAGTTTACATTAGCTACATAGCTATCTGGTTTTGTGGGTTCTTAAATCTGTCTTCTACTTGAAGAGGATTAGTGGCTTAATATCTAATCATGTTTCTTACTTTTGTTTTATTAAAGATAATTTAAGTAATGGTAAAAGTAAAAATAATGTTCTCTATCTTTTTGTCTTCCCCATTCTTTATTAGATTGCTGGATTCCTTGGGATATTGTGGTGCCTGAGCCTTCTGGCTTGCTTCTTTGCTCCAATTAGTGTCATCCCCACATATGTGTATCCGCTTGCTCTTTACGGATTTATGGTTTTCTTCCTTATCAACCCCACCAAAACTTTCTACTATAAGTCCCGGTTTTGGCTACTTAAACTGCTGGTAAGTCCAGAAACTTGTATACCATTTTTAGAGTGGTATAGTGGTTAATGACTTTCTCTGTGATAAAACCAAGGCTGCTAGGCTGTACAACTGTAGAGGCCATGATTCACATTACAGTTTATGTGATTGGGGCCCCAGCTCCAGGGCAAACAATATAGTGTAACGAAGAGTCCTGAAGTTGTACAACACGGAGGCCCTAGGAAAAAGCACTCATGTATATTTTCCTCCTAAGATCGAATATCAAGTAGCCAAATAACGAAATGATTTTGCAAATGGTAATCATTGTTTACTTCATTTAACTAGCTGTGATAAGATGTAGAACTTTGGGGGCCGGGCGCGGTGGCTCAAGCCTGTAATCCCAGGACTTTGGGAGGCCGAGGTGGGTGGATCATGAGGTCAAGAGATCGAGACCATCCTGGTCAGCATGGTGAAACCCCGTCTCTACTGAAAATGCAAAAAATTAGCTGGGCGTGGTGGCGTGTGCCTGTAATCCCAGCTACTCAGGAGGCTGAGGCAGGAGAATTGCCTGAACCCAGGAGGTGGAGTTTGCAATGAGCCGAGATCGTGCCATTGCACTCCAGCCTGGGTAACAAGAGCAAAACTCCGTTGCAAAAAAAAAAAAAAAAAAAACATGTAGAACTTCGTAAGTTTCCTTCCAAAAAAAATGTGGTAAAATTATTATTTTCTTATTAAGTTGATGTGAGTATCAACCCAACATTTTATTTTAGGGAAGATTTGTTCTCTAAAACCAATAGGAATATTTTACCAGATTACCAAGTTTAATTTGAAAAATTGACTTTGGGCTGGATGCGGTGGCTCACGCTTGTAATCCCAGCACTTTGGGAAGCCAGGGCAGGTGGATCATCTGAGGTCAGCAGTTAGAGACCAGCCTGACCAACATGGTGAAACCCCATCTCTACTAAAAATACAAAATTAGCTGGGAGTGGTGGCACATGTCTGTAATCCTAGCTTCTTTGGAGGCTGAGGCAGGAGAATCACTAGAACCCCAGAGGTGGAAGTTGCAGTGAGCCTTGATTATGCCATTGCATTCCAGCCTACGCAACAAGAGCAAAACTCCACCTCAAAAAAAAGAAAAATTGACTTTGATTCTTGTTTCTAAGAAGTTCCATTTTTTTCTTCCACTTTACCTGTTTCTTAGTGATCTCAAAATCATTTAGCCTCAGCAGTGATACACAATTTCCTGGAAAAATATAAGGCTTTCTCCTGTAAAGATAACTCCTGATTAGATGGAGACTTCTGCTTACTTGTAAATTAAGCCAGCTCTGTTTTGAAAATCATTTGAGGCCAGACGCAGTGGTTCACGCCTGTAATCCCAGTATCCGGGAGGCTGAGGCGAGTAGATTCCCTAAGCCCAAGAGTTTCAAACCAGCCTGGGCAACATGGTGTAAACCCTGTCTGCAAAAATTAAAAAATTAGCTGGATGTGATGGTGCACACCTGTGGTCCCAGCTACTTGTGATGCTCAGGTGAGAGGATTGCTTGAGCCAGGAATGTCAAAGCTGCAGTGAACCCTGTTAGGGCCACTAAATTCCCAGCACAGGCAACAGACTGAGACCCTGTCTCTAAAGGAAAAAAAAGAAACAAACAAAGAAAGTAAATCAGTTAAGATAACTTTCCTATAATTATATTTTAGATTATGAATTACAGATGATAATAAAGATTAGTGATTAAATTGACCAATCTCTATACAAACTTTCAGAATTACCATATTTTCTCTCCTGTTTTCCACTTTATAGGTATACCTCCTTTTGTATGCTCCTTAGGTTAGCAGAGGTTTTTTATTCTTAGCAAAACATAACAATTTTTTTTAAATCTGAAGACATAAAATATGGCTTTCTATTAAGAAAATCTGTAGAACCAGCTGTGGTGGCTCATGCCTGTAATCCCAGCCCTTTGGGAGGCTGAGGTGGGTGGATCACTTGAAGTCAGGAGTTAAAGAGACCAGCCTGGCTAACATGATGAAACCCTGTCTCTACTAAAAGTACAAAAATTAGCCAGGCAAAGTGGCAGGTGCCTGTAATCCCAGCTACCGAGAGGCTGAGGCAGGAGAATCACTTGAACCCAGGAGGTGGAAGTTGCAGTGAGCCGAGATGGTGCCACTGTACTCTGGCCTGGGCAACAGAGGGAGTCTCTGTCTCAAAAACAAAAACAAAAGATAAAAAAGATAAGGTCTCCTTTGTTGCCTGGGCTTGTCTCAAACCTCCTGGCTTCAAGTGTTCCTCCCCACCTTGGCCTCCCAAAGTGCTGGGATTACAGGTATGAGCCACGGTGCCTGGCCAGAAAATTGTTTTTAAATGAGACTTTGGAAGATTCCGAAAACTCAAATGTTACTGTGATTGCATAATTATAGTAACAGGATAATATAGTTGTGTGCATTGTGTACCAAGTGAGCATTTCCCCAGTGTATCCACCTTTGTTTAAATAGCAAGCTGTGATTCATGCATGACCAGTTACTCTTATTAGCAGAACGATTCCCCATTGAGTAGACATTTATCTGTACATCTGCTGTGTTTTTGTTAATAAATGAGGACTTGTTGACAGAATAGGTTGATAATGATAGAGGCAGTAACAGAATAATAAAATATACTATCGGATACAGTGAAATATAGAAGGAAGCATTGTGGTTTGTTATTTTTGTAGCAACAGTTATAAACAGAAGAATGTTACCATTTATAGATCATTTTAGTATTAATTGACCTGTTGACCGACTTTAAATCTCACTGAGAAAACTTGCCCTTAGACTGATTCCTAGTGAATTAACAAGAATGTGTCCACTCTAGTTATGTTTTTCTGATACCGCTTTTTAAAAGCTTAATCCTAAAGTAAAACTGCATTTCTTTCTTTTTTTCCTTTTTTTTTTTTTTTTTTTTTTTTGAGACAGGATCTGGCTCTATTTCCCAGGCTGGAGTGCAGTGGCATGATCTCAGCTCACTGCAGCCTCCACCTCCCAGATTTAAGTGATCTTCCCACCTCAACCTCTTCAGTAGTTAGGACCACAACGTGCCTGGCTAATTTTTTTTGCATTTTTTATTAGAGATGGGGTTTTGCCATGTTGCCCAGGCTTGTCTCGAATTCCTGGCTCAAGTCATCTGCCTGCCTTGCCTTCCAAAGTGCTGGGATTACAGATATAAGCCACCATGCCCAGCCTTTTCTTTAGTTTTCAGTGAGAAAAGCACATATGTTATTTAGCCATAGTGGTAGGCACTGGGTACCATTTATGTCCGTATTTATATTGGAATATATGAAATTGATATATGCTATGCTCCCAAAAACAAAGCTAAAAAAGTTTATAAGAAATCGATTTATTTTGATGTGAATATTGTACGTCAAATTAGTGTAGATTATTTACATCCATTACCTTCTCTCCCTAAATCTGTATTTACCTCAATTGGCAATCTAATTAGGTAGCGTAAACAGTGCTTCAGATTTTCTAAACAAAGATACCAATTTATAGTTCAATATATTAAAATATATCAAGTCTATTTAAAATTTTTAAATTATCGTCCTTTGTTATATAATTTAGAAATCAGTTTTTACCAAGTTTCTTTAGTTCTTCAGTAAAAATTTTACACGTTTCTGTTACAAGAATAGAGAGGTGTTCTCATTTAGTAACTACTTTATATATTTTATTTTAAGAATAACCCACAAGTTGAAGCTGCTATTAATTCCCATTTTATAAATGAAGAAACCTACATTCAGAGAAGTTAATTAACTTGCCTAAGGTCACATAGCCAGTGAATGATGAAGATGAGTTATGAACCCAGGCAGTCGGGCTTCATAATCTGTACTCTTAAACACTAACATTTAACACTTAGCCTTGTTCGTTATTTTTGTAAGATGTTTAACTTTGATCTAGTGGATGAAACTAGTAGAATATAAAAATCAAATTTAGGGCCGGGCAGTGTCTCATGCCTGTAGTCCTAGCACTTTGGGAGATGGAAGTGGGAGGATCGCTCAAGCCCGGGAGTTTGAGACAAGCCTGGGCAACATGACAAAACCCTCTCTCTATAAAAACTGAAAAATTAGTGGGGCATGGTGGCACACATCTTCTAGTTCCAGTTACTTGGGAAGCCGAAGGAGGAGGATCGCTTGAGTCCAGCAGGTTGAGGTTACAATTAGATGAAATTGCACCACTACACTCCATGAAAAGTAGAAATTAGAACTTCATCTTCTTAGCTGTTTATCAGTATTAACTTAAAAGATGATGTTAACATGTTCTTTGTAATAACTTATTAGTGGCTTTTTTGTGTATATGATAAAATATCAGATATCCAGAATTGTCACTGGCTTTCATAATACTGTTACTATAGGAATTGTCACTTTAATCAGAATCACAGGGTAGAAGTGGTAAAGTTGAAAGGCCTTATCCAGATTAAGAAAAGAAGGAGAAGTGAGTTACAGAATTCACTCTGAAGGAGAAATCAGATAAATCTAGAATGGATTTGACTGTGTGTAAATGTGAGTTGAATATGTTTATGTCTCCCTCTCACCCTGCCTCTGATAGAGTGACTTCTTGTATTCTCTGTATTTCCAATGTATTTTATGTATCTCTGTAATATGGTGCTATAATTATACCTTTCTATATTTACTTGCCCAACTAGACTGTGGATCTTTAAGGCCTTTGAGGGTAGAGACTGTTTTCTCTCTGTACCGCCGCAGTGCCTGACATATTATAAATACTTGATAAGTCTTTGCTAGATAGATGAATGACTGTAATTATATTTTTTCCTTCGGTGGTTATATTATACTAACATTTACCAATCCTTCCTTTCTTTTTTCATTTTCTCATTTTATAAATTTTCCCTTCTTTTTAGCTTTTTATTTTTATCTTCATGTCACTCCTATCCTTTACCAGTCCCATCCCTCCGTCTCTTTCTTCCTCATTTAATGCATCATCTTCCTCTCCTGCTCTTATGGAGATTTTCTGAATTAGCCAGGTTTTGAGGATGGAGTTGGCAGAGCGTGAGAGTAACGATAGTCTGTCTCATGTCAGTTAGAAATTTCTCCTAGGCACCAGTTTCATAATAGTTCATGAGTAGAGTTGGATTTAGACTTCTTGCCCCTTTGGTGTTATAGCCTAAATTATTCTGTTGTTTCTGTCACTTTGAATCCTTTAAGTCCATTATGCACCTTGGAGTTTCTTAAAATATTACAAAAACTGGTGCCAGAACTTTTTCGTGTTTAGGTGACTACCATCCTACCCCCTTCCTCTTCCCCGCAAAAAGTTTGCTGTATCTAGAGCTTATGGTTGGTATAGACTGTTTCTCTGGTTTATTGAACTCATGGGAAGAGTATGAGAGTGATTAAGAGACTGAGCCATGGACCCAGAATATATCAGCACCAGAAAATAATGTCTCAAAGCCTGTATGATGTCCCGCAGACACCTGGTCTAGCTTCCAGAGCTCCAAGAAAGTACCTGTCATAGGTAGTTGACACCCAGGATTGAGTTATAATATGACCATTTATCTGCCTGAAATAATAAAGATAAATATTTAGAGAAAGAGTAGAAAGATCTAGCCAAGTCTGAGTAGAGAATTACAGACTCCCAAGTTGAATATGTCTATGAAATGAATATAACTAGATCACTAGAGAGCTAGAGATTAGATTCATTTTCTCAAAACTTCTACTTACTCAGAATTTCTTGTTTCAGGAGTCACATTTCCTCCTGTACAAGATAAAAAGGGATCTGATAGGTTGAGGATTAAGTCTTCCTTCATCCCATGTTCATGCAAGGCTTATCAAGACAATCTGCACAATTTGGGCTTATTTCTGGTATTTGCATAGGTGCCTACTTCCCTTCTCTGCCACACCAAGATTTCCCTTTGTAGTGTTAAACAGGTTTCCACAGAGTAGATTAGGAAGAGTCTGTGTCGGTCTTCTGTAAAATGGGGATATGAATAGTTTCTAGCTTGTTGAATTGTTATGAGGATTGAATTAATGCCTGCATAAGCCTTGAAGAAAATACACTGTATGAGTTACTGCTTAATACATTTAATACCTTTATCATGTGTTCAGAACAGTCGGAAGAGGGCTGGTTTTTGTGGTGTAGTTTGACGATGAACACAGCCATCACCATGGCATTAGTGAAAAGAAAGTGACTTTGGTTAGAGAATGAGGCGTGTCTCAGATGGTATACCATCTTTTCCTGCTTATCCTTTGTAAGCAAAGAAGAACTTTGTATTCAGTTAGCTAAGATAGAGTAGTCTAGACATTACAGCACTTGTGTCTACAGCACTTGTGTCTACAGCAAAACTTCCTAACTTTAGAGCCTCTCAAAGCCTCCGTCTTCTGCTATTCTCTCTGCTTTCAATTTTAACTCTTCCCACCTCTTTGCTTTAGAAAATTTCTTTCTTTCCTTTCCTTTCTTTCTTTTCTTTCTTTCTCTCTCTTTCTTTTTTCTTTCTCTTTCTTTCTCTCTCCTTTCTTTCTTTCTTTCTCTCTTTCTCTCTTTCTTTTCTTCTTTCAGACTGGAGTGCAATGACACAATCTCAGCTCACTACAACCTCCACCTTCAGGGTTCAAGTGATTCTCCTACCTCAGCCTCCGAAGTCGCTGGGAGTACAGGCGTGTGCTACCATGCCCAGCTAATTTTTCTATTTTTAGTAGAGACAGGGCTTCACCATATTGGCCAGGATGGTCTCAATCTCTTGGCGTCGTGATCTGCCCACCTTGGCCTCCCAAAGTGCTGGGATTACAGACATGAGCCACCATGCCTGGCATCTGTTTTCTTTCCTCCTTTCTTTTTTCTTTCTTTCTTTTCTTTTTTTTTTTTCTGATAACATGGGTTAATTTATTTGTTAAGATTTGAGTGCAAACTTAAAAACAAGAACAAACAAAGCTTTTCATCAAGAATAAACACAGAAGCTAAACAATTCTCCAATCATGCATTTTAACAAAAATACAAATATGCATACATTATAATTTGTAACTTCATTTAAAAATTAAAGTATCTGTCCAAATCCAAAACACTACACATTCTTTAATCTGTTCTCTTCTTCTTACCTTAGAAACATTTGTCGTATGCTGTCAGGAAAATATAGGCAAGAATTACTAATCAGTTCTTTATGATCAAAGAAACATTATTCTCCTTAACTGTGACTTTTTGAATCTTTTATCTGTATTTCAGTTTTGAAATACCACACAATTATACCTCCACTCTTGAGAAAGAATGAATACAGAAATCAAGGAGGTTTGACCGTTCATGGAATTAAAGCAAAATTACAAGTGTTTGACTTAGAAATGTCCATATTGTAATTAAAGTACGACTTTAGTTGGTGGCTGATATGTATGTAATAATTGTGAACAGTTTAAACAGGGATAAGAATGTGCGAACAAAATCTTTAGTCTCAGATACTTGAAAAGTCGCTGTGAGTATGGAAAGATTTGTTTACATAATCATGTATATTTTTAGATGAAAAATTAGGGGGTAGTGGTATCTCCCTGGTCCCTTAACAATATTTGGATTTTTGCAAAGAATTAGCAGCACCCATGCTTTCTATGTTATAACTAGTTATTCCTGCTTTTTTTCCTCCTTTCCTTCCTTTCTTTGTTATCCATTCAACTCATTCCCTTCACTGCTAATTCAGAACCTAGCCACTGTTGCCAGGTTTCTGTGTTTATGACTGGTTCTTTGGTTTCCAAAGCAATCATGCTGAACAGTCAGACATGAAATGGAGAAATTTAATATGACTTTTCTTGTTTCTATGTTTTCTGATTTTTTTTCTTTCTCTCAGTTTCGAGTATTTACAGCCCCCTTCCATAAGGTAGGCTTTGCTGATTTCTGGCTGGCCGATCAGCTGAACAGCCTGTCAGTGATACTGATGGACCTGGAATATATGATCTGCTTCTACAGTTTGGAGCTCAAATGGGATGAAAGTAAGGGCCTGTTGCCAAATAATTCAGAAGGTAGGGTATGAATTTGCATCTATACTACTAAATTGCAAGTGTAAACCAAGAAACATTGGGAAGGCTAACTGAGAAAATCAAGGTCATGATGAAACTTATCCAATAATATTACAAACTTAATTAAATGTACTTGGCATTCTGTTAGCAGTCTCTTTATCTGATATGATTTGGCTTTTAAATTATGCATTAGGATTTTGTCTGTCCATTTGCCAAGAGATGTACAACTTACACTTAAAGAATTCTAAAACTTTTTTTTGTTAAGATCTAGTACATTGGTAGTTATATTACAAATGCTTTCACGCCAACAATTTGTTGTCCCAGTATTGCTGTATAATGTAACATAGATACCGGTGATCAAAAATACTGATTATTTAGAAATAAATTAAGAATAAATTAAGTGCTTTGAGAGTAATTACAGATTGGTTTTTAATTCTTAGTTGGGATGTTATTTTTCTTCTAGCTTTTTTCCTCACCCTTAGTTTATGTCAGGAGTTCAAGTTATTAAGGAATTTTGCCTTTGTGACAAAGATTTAATTTAGATCGACTGTGTAATGTGTGACTAACAAAAGTTAATGATGAAGCCAGTGCTGACACATTTTTATTGATTGCCAGTGGATCACAACTCTGTTATAGTTTGATCATACTCAATTCTGAATTTCAGAATTCAAAGAAAAATTGACTTACCACCTCCAATCTTATTGAAACGCACAGTTTGTTCTTGGTTTACAAAAGGAGGGGAGGTGGATGTACAAGAGCATGTGCTCTTGGGTGTCTTGTGTTGTTGGTGGTTTGGAATTCACAAAATTGTCTAGAATCACTGGTGATACTTGTAGGTTTTCCAGATGTTTCAAATAACGGAGCCAACGCATTTTCCCCTCTTTATATTAGTATACTCATCTTCTAATTTTCTTATGATTTTATCACACTCCAAAGAGAGTGATTCCAGGACATATCCATAAATCTGAGATAACAAATTTTTCTACTAGTTCCCCTCAATATATTTTACCTTCTCTCCTTGATTTATCTACCACTAAAATGCTTGAGAATAAACTGGGCTCGGTGGCTTACGCCTGTAATCTCAGCACTTTGGGAGGCCAAGGTGGGTGGATCAGTTGAGGTCAGGAGTTTGAGACCAGCCTGGCCAACATAGTGAAACCCCGTCTCTACTAAAAATACAAAAATTAGCTGGGTGTGGTGGTATGCACCTGTAATCCCAACTACTCCGAAAGCCAAGGCAGGAGAATCACTGGAACCCGGGAGGTGGGGGTTGTAGTGAGCTGAGATTTTTGCCACTGCCCTTCAGCCTGGACCACAGAGCAAGTCAGTCTCAAAGAAAAAAAAAAGCTTGAGATATATAATAGTTGCAAAGAAGAAAGTGATTCTGATTCTGAAACCTAGGTTTCTTGCTTTTTTAGACTTGGTAGTGGCTACACTATATGGCTGAATGATGTGAACAAGTTTTTTTTTTTTAATTGTAATTTTTCTTCTTTGAAATCTTCACAGAATCAGGAATTTGCCACAAATACACATATGGTGTGCGGGCCATTGTTCAGTGCATTCCTGCTTGGCTTCGCTTCATCCAGTGCCTGCGCCGATATCGAGACACAAAAAGGGCCTTTCCTCATTTAGTTAATGCTGGCAAATACTCCACAACTTTCTTCATGGTGACGTTTGCAGCCCTTTACAGCACTCACAAAGGTATTCTGTGATTGACTATGAAGATACTTTTTTTAAAACCTGGATTTTTACTACCTGAATCTGTTTCTTACTCTGATTACTTTTCCGTTTGTCATGCTCTTTTTCTTTTCTACTGAAATTTCAGTTCCTTCAGTTATACCAGTTTGTTCTTGAATGCAGTTTTAGTCTCATCCAATATCTACTGAAAAACTACCATTGAAAAAAAGCACAGTCACCCAGAATAAGAATTTATAATAATGTTTAAAACCTTGAATTATATCTAATGGGTTCAATCTATGGATATCTTGGGTTTCCATTCGTTTTTAGACTTCCTTGTTCATTAATGAGGTTGGGAAATGGGTTGGTGAAAAAAAATTCCCTGTGGCAATCAAGTATATTTTTAATCGCTTTCCTTCACCAAGTAGTAAGAATTGTTTCCAGCCCATTTAACTGCAAATTGAGTTCTCTGATTCCTCTAGTTTCTTATCTCCATGGCAACCTATTATTGCTTGAGACTGCTCTTCTGTTGGGAGGAGAAAAGGCTTTTAAGTTCTGAGCCACATGCAGACACTCCTTTTGAATTTTTAACCTTTTTCCAAGAACTGTCAGTCAATGATCTCAGATCGCACTTCCTTTTAGTAAAATGCATTACATCTTTGTCTTTTTAAGTCAGTATCAGCCCACACCTTAGATGCTGCACTTTCTCATCGGTAGGTTGTAAAGAGATCTTACTAATTGAAATTATTAGTTATTTTTACATACTTTGTAAAAATGTTTTTCAGTGATTTTTTTTTCTTAATTGAGAGGCTATATTTTAGGAGCTTTGGCTAGTGCTACAAAATTGCTGCTAATCTAAAGTGTGTCAAATGGTCATAAAAGATCAGAACATTGCTTCAATAAACCTTGAGATTTGATGCAGCAGAAGATATTCATAATGTAATTCCACTTTTTGCAGTAGATTCTGTGGTTAGAGTAGGATTGATAAATGTAGCCAATAATTTTACCACCATGTGGGCATTCTTGTTAAATGATATAATTTAACTAAGTATGTTAGTGAAGGAACCACATCCCCAAAGCTCCCATAATTTTAACTCATACTGTGAAATGCTGTCGTTAAGTCCAGGCCTGTATCATAATTCAGAAGGTTGTTACTAGAGAATTTATAAATTGCGCAACTGATTTGATACATGATATTTATGACTCCTTCTACTAAATTATAGAGAGCACTTTACTTTTCTTCTATCCCAGGTAAAAATGAGTGCTGTTGTTTTGGTCGAATATTTTAGAACATGATATACCTTTAACTGCAGTTGACTCTTAAAACAACTTGGAGATTGGGGCACCAACCTCCCACATAGTTGAAAATCCACAGATAACATACCTTTCAAAAATTTAACTATTAATAGTTACCATTGACTGGAAGCCTTACTGATAAAATAAGCAGTCTATTAACATATATTTGGTATGTCATGTGTTATATACTATACTCTTATAATCAGGTAAACTAGAGAAAAGAACATTTTATTAAGAACATCATAAGAAAGACAAAGTATCTTTCCTATTCATTAAGTGGAAATGGATGGTCATGAAGATGTTCACCCTTGTCATCTTCACATTGAATAGGCTGAGGAGGAGGAGGAAGAGGAAGGGTTGGTCTTACTATCTCATGGGTAGTGGAGGCAGAGGAAAATTTGTATGTAAGTGGAACTGTGAAGTTCAAACCCATATTATTCAGGGGTCAACTGTATACTGATAGCATTGAGTAAAAAGCTGAAAATCCAAATTCTTCAAATCTGTGAACAGCCCAAATCTAAAATGTCTAAACTAAAAATGTAGTAGTTTAGATAGTATTGTGGGCTTAAGACATTTCTTACTCATGTACTCCTTCAAAGAGTTTTATTAAACCATATTATCTTTTGGACATTTTTAAGTTTACAACTGAGTTTAAATAATTACAAAAGATGCAGTTTCAGTGTATTTTAAATGTTCACATTTTAAAATAAAACCGCTAAATGTTTCCAGTGCAGTAGTCAGAAAATTTCCATCTCTTTGCTCTTAAACTATAATGTAATATATCTTTATTTTCATGTAATATATTCTTGTTTAATGACTTGTCTGCTACATAAACATGTAAATTGAAATTAAATTATTTCTTTCACTAAAAGATTAATTTGTTTTCTGCTCTGGGTTGTAATTATCATTACCCTGATTATTACAGTTGATCAACATTACATATTATTACAAATTTTTATAAGTAATTATTGCAGATAAACATTTCTTAATGAGATAAATTTATGTTATTACTATTTCTTTTTTCAATTTTTATATAAGTAAACTCTGAGAAATCTTGTGGCTATGTAGATGAGAATAGAAAAAGTTTTGTTGTTGCAGTATCACTCAGTTTTATGAGTTCAGTGAGTTATTTATGGGTTATTTGCCAATTATGAGTTATTTGTCCAAAAAATTGCATAGTTACCTATCATCAATAAGTATTTTAGTGATTAGATTTTCTTGGTTGAAAGCAAAGAGTTGAAAATAAATAAAGAATTGAACATAAACTGAATGAAAAAGGATTTACAATAGCAAAGACCTGGAACCAACCCAAATGCCCGTCAATGATAGACTAGACCGGGAAAATGTGGTACATATACACCATGGAATATTATGCAGCCATAAAAATGATGAGTTCGTGTCCTTTGTAGGGACATGGATGAACCTGGAAACCATCATTCTCAGCAAACTGACACAAGAGCAAAAAATCAAACACCACATCTTCTCACTCATAGGCGGGTGTTGAACAATGAGAACACATGGACACAGGGAGGGGAGCAGTACACACTAGGGTCTTTTGTGGGGAAATGGGGGAGGGACGGGGGGTGGGGAGGTGGGGAGAGATAGCATGGGGAGAAATGCCAGATATAGGTGATGGGGAGGAAGGCAGCAAATCACACTGCCATGTGTGTACCTATGCAACAATCTTGCATGTTCTTCACATGTACCCCAAAACCTAAAATGCAATTAAAAAAAAAAAAAAAGGAAAAAGGATTTGATAGCCAGCCAGTGGAGTCATTAACTTGCTAACTTGACAGTAGACCATCAACCATCATAAGATTATTAATTTTAGAAGCTCTTTGTCTAACCCAACATATGCAAATAATTGTTAGGAAAATAAAAATATTGTTAATTTCAGTACACATTTGCCAGTGCAAAATTTTACAATGAAATACTTTTTTTTTTTTTTTTTTCAGATGGAGTCTTGCTCTGTCTCCCAGGCTGGAGTGCAGTGGCGCGATCTCAGCTCACTGCAATCTCTGCCTCTGGGTTCAGGCAATTCTTCTGTCTCAGCCTCTCAAGTAGCTGGGACTACAGGCCCATGCCACCATGCCCAGCTAATTTTTGTATTTTTAGTAGAGATAGGGTTTCACTATATTAGCCAGGCTGGTCTGAAACTCCTGACTTAGTGATCTGGAATTACAGGTGTGAGCCACCATGCCCAGCTGAAATACTTTTATCATATTCTTTAAATGTGTTTTTGAAAAAAGTCTGGAACTACAGGTTCCATTCATCTAAGCTATGGAGAATATCTGCAGTATACCTATAGAAGAGGAAAAACTTGCTCCTCTACCCTCTTAAGTAATTGGGACCCGCAAATGAAATTGACAGCAGGCAGATTAATAGAAGAAAAGGTTTGTTATATATACAGAGATCTTCATAGAAAAGAGGACCCGAAAGAAGTGTTTAGACCAGGGGGTGGAGGGGGCTCATATACCATTTTTACAAACAGTGGTAAATTGTGAAAAATTAAGTTTAGAGAAAGGTAGGTGGTTGGGCTTCTGGGTGGTAAATTGTGAAAAGGGAAATACATGGGGATTCTAATGAAAGAAAAGGGTTATTTAGTAAGGTTTGTTATGCAGACTAAAGTGGATGTCTTCTCCATTGATAAGCATCATTGCTGGTGATGAAGTGTTGCCCTTTTCTTCCTGGTATGAGAGTGAGACACCTTTACAAATGGAAATTTAGATTACATTTACAAAAGGAATTTATGCCCTGCTTTTAGACAAAAAGAGTGAGGGCAGAGATATTCCCCTTCATCTGCCATTTCTCAGTTGCCTTCAGCTCAAAATAATCCTTATGCCAAAGTGGCATATTTGGGAATATATGAGGATCCTCTTCATCCCCTCATTGGGAATTCAGTGAGACAAGTGGAAAAAATTTTGACTTCAGATTAATGTATATATTTATCTCCCTGTGTAAGCACCTCATTCTTTCATTCCTTTTTTTTTTTTTTTTTTTTTTTTTTTTGATATGGAGTTTTACTCTGTCGCCTAGGCTTGAATGCAGTAGTGCCATCCTGGGACGCTGCAGCCTCCGCCTCCTGGATTTAAACAGTTCTTCTGCCGCAGCCTCCTCAGTAGCTGGCACTACAGGTGTGTGCCACCATGCACGGCTAGTTTTTTGTATTTTTAGTAGAGATGTGTTAACCAAGATGATCTCAATCTCCTGACCTTTTGATCCTCCCAACTCGGCTTCCCAAAGTGCTGGGATTACAGGAATGGGGCACTATGCCCGGCCACGTTCCTTCATTCTAATTCTGAGTTCGATGCAGGACCAGGTAGATAGGTAGACAGGCAGGCAGAGCAAGCATTCATTCAGCAAATACTTACTAAGAATATTTTATGTAACATACCTGCTAAGTACTAAAAACATAGCAACGAAACACAACACAGTTCTTGCCCTTAATAATTTATAATCTGGTAGGGGAATAGACAAAGTAAAAAGACATTAATTGATTTCACAACAGTGTTAATATTCTTAATACTACTGTTAAGTATATAGAGTATAAAGAGATAAGCAGGATACTAAAGAACCTCCAGCATAGGTCTCTAAATCAGTCCCCTAGGCCTCAGGATGGGAGGAAGACTTCTGCAAGGTAACATCTAAGCTTTAGCCTATTGTTCATATTAAGTTAAGGAAGATTCTGGTTACCTCAGTATGTGCCTTGCTCAAGGCCATGTAATTTG